AGGAGATAGATTCATCACCCTGTTGACTACAGCTTTCTGCTTCATTCCTCAGGGTCGGAGATGTCTGCTGGGTCGGTGTTGTGGGTCAGCATGTAGTTGTCCATGTCGATGGAGGGGCAGTTATGGATGGAGTAACGCAGACGCTCAGCAAGGATGGCCTGGCTTGTGTAGGGGGGCAGGCGAAGCAAGAAGAAGCAGGTCTGAGCAGTAGGGAGACCGTTCATGGGCTGGGCGAGAGCAAAACAAGGTTTGTTGTTCAAACTTTTAGTATTAATTCTTACAAACTAGCTTATTAATACTTTTAGATTACCTTTATATTGATGACCTTACCCTATCAACCTTGATGATTTGAAACTTCTGTGTGATATCAGCTGGGTTGGAAGGTAACCTGGACCTGCCACAGACAAAACGCAGGAAAAGAACCCGCTCCTCATTGGTGAACTCCTCCAAGCTCTGCCAAAACCAGGCAATAATTTGGTGGCTCTCTGTGATATCACGGTAACGCACCAGCTTCTTCAGCATCTCGACAGAGACCTCTGGCAGGCCACACACCAGCTGCTCCAGCTGCTGTGCCGTCAGCAGCGAGAGGATGGGCACAGGGATGATGGTGGACATGCCCTCTCTGACCGCTGCCACCTGGACACAACAAAACAAGGTCAGCTTTGATATTTCTGAGGACAAGATAAAGGGAACAAACAGGCTGTTTAGTGAGCACTAATGGAAACTGGTGGGCAGACTGGATGTTTACAAAGGATGCAGAGTTTCTGATGCAGTACAGAGAAATTTAGTGTTTTCTTTTACAGTATATGGGCCGGGTCTGTTTTAAAAGAAATTCGTTCTCCCCCCCCTTTTTTTGTCACTTTAAAGGCTCAACCCATTTCTACGAGGGGTGTAAAGGTATATTTATTTGTATCAAACCATTTCAGTACAGGTCTTTAGATGCACACCGAATGCACTTTTTAAACAGTAGTTAACAGCAGGCTTGTTTTGTGTGGAACTTATTTTTCAAAACCGCATTTCTACATGAGCATATTAAGTGGCAAACCGGAGTGCACTCCGTCTAGTGGACGTCATGGCCAGTGTAAACGTGAAGCCAGAGCTAGAAGACCCTCCCTTATCATTAAGCTATCCTGTTTGGGAACACTTTAGCTTCCTGGTGAAATACAACAAAGACGAACGGATAAGACATCTTATTTGTTTACTGTACACAGTCCACCACTTAATATGTTTATTCAGTGGTGATCGGGTATGTTTATGGCAGCAATCAAACTTGGTAATGCATTAGAAGTGGCACAATGTGAATATAATAGTACATACACTGCTTTGTCATTTAAACAGTCTTTCACTGCTTGGAGCACTTATTATAGTAGTTTGCAGCAGTATTCTTTTATTTTTATATATTTGTTTCAATTTGTATCAATTGATTTCCCAAAGCCCAGTTTCATATCAGAAAACACAAGTCTTTACATTTCATATTACTCTCTGTTGGCTATTTGTATGAAAGAGGCTGGAACCAGTGAATTTTTCCTTAAAATGTACTAAAACAAATATCATTGATTTTCTTTTGACTGTTTTACTGACTAATTGTTTTAGATCTACCACCATCCAATAAAGGGGGTGACTATAATTAAGTGTCCCAGTTTGACAGGGGTCACTGTCTAGGAATTATTTTCTAAGGGTTAAAGGCAGTTTGTTTTTCAAGCACAGGGGTTTCCTTGCACTAATACTTTGTTAGTCAACTGTACTTGGAAAAGTCTGTATCATCAATCACACAGTATTTCACACTCCAGAGGTACCTGTGCAAGGGAGCCTACATCAAAAGGTTAACTCAGTCATTTGTGCTGTCAATTTTATGACTTGCTGGGGGGTTTTTTCCACCTTGACTGCAGAAACATTTAGCACAATGTAAAGGCAGAAACCAGGACTTTGGTTTGTGAGTGACTCTGTGTCCAGTTTAAAAAGTCTCAAATTTAATCTGGACTTCCTTCTGTAACAAAATGAGGAGCTATGGTCTCCACAGAGGGGGGGCAGGGTCTGCTACAGCACTGAGACATAAAACAGACCAATTATTTTGTTATATCCTAAAGAAATTAATATGGCCAAGCTGTTTAAATGTGTAGCAGTGTGAATATGTGCAGATTACATACTAATGTGGACAATTCTGTTAAATAAGCCCAAATCATTCTTCAACAAATAACCCTTCAAACCTGTAAATCCATCTCATGCAGTCTGTAGTCCAGAGCTTTCTCCACATATTCAGTCCGGTTGGCAAAGGTTAGGGAGATGTTTTGACCTCCAGGAACAACAGCTACCAGCCTTCCATCTGCACTGTGGGCCATGAACGAGTCCAGTGGGATCATCTTCAAAGTGAGACACCAAAAGAGGAACAGTAAGGGGCTGTGAAGCTAAAACTGCAGGTGAACATCTCAGAAAGATCAAGAACTACAGGAATATTAATGAAACCTACAATAAGACAGTTCACAAGGAAATCTCACCACATGGAAATTGTCCTCTGTGATTCCACTGTTTTCCAGATGAAGGATGCCTTGTAGGGTGCGGTAGGTGAGCAAGTCTACCTCCTCAAGGTCAAGCCCTCCCAGTGGCATCGAGCAGAGCTGTTTCCACACCCAGGGAGCAAGATGCAAATCTAGAGGTTTCTTAGTGCGGATGGCCACAGCCATGAGGATGCCCAGGAAGCGAAACTGGACCATGTGATCCTCGGAGAGTGCTGCTGGGTTCAACAGAAACCTGAATGTACACAGCCGATGTCAGAGATCAGGCTCATTTTTAAAAGGTCATTGGTGACTATGCAAAGAAGGCTACAAAATCTGGACCTGTCAGTGTTACTGCCCACATCTGCAAAGCTGTTGGGAGTGTGAATCAGAAGATCCACCACACCAGACTGCAACTCCTGGTGAAAGCACAATGTCATTTGTCAGTTTACATAAAGCAGAGAAAATTCCAGTCTGCATTATAGGCCTTCTCTATTTCTATCAGACCTCTTGCAAGCTTTCCATCCTACCTGGCACATCTCAGTGATGGTGTCATCAAACACTCCTCCAGCATCATCTGCTCCCTCTCCGACAAGCTTGACCTTCCAGGCTCGTGATGGCAGCCGCAGCTCTAGTGGATTCAAGCTCACTACCTGCTTCGCGATCTGCACAAAGATGGGCTTGCTCGAACGCCCTCTGTGAGAGAGGGGACATCAAAGTTTTGATATATGGACAGTTGTACACCCCTGAAAATAAACAGATCCTGCCAAATGACTGTCTGTCACAGTCATCCATACCTTGTGGAAATCCGTTTCACAGTGATCTGTGGTCCATATGTTTTGCCCTGGGTCATTGTTCTACCAATGGAGCGTACTAGAGGCAGAGTGTTGACCTTGGGTGACAGAAGGCCTCTGAGCTCGCCCCGGATGATGGCTGTCGTCCCTGAACTATAGCGTGAGGTGCATACCTGAATGAAGAGAGGGACATGGAATAAAATAAGAGAGAATGAGTGAAACAGAGAGAAGAATAACAAGCAGCAGGTATATTAGCAGCAAGACAGCTGTTGTTTTAACAGATTAAAAGGAAAGAAAACGGGATGATTGATTACCGGATTCTTGGCATCTAGGTTTAACAGCTTCCAGGACTTGTACATGAGATCAGAGAAGTGGTAGAGTACCCTAAGACGCATGCTTAGGTCATCAGGGCTGCAGTCTTTCAAGGTGTTATACTGGGGAGGGACCCACTGGGGAAGGCCTATCTGGAAATTTCCAGAGCCACCTGGAGGCCAAGGTAACAAACTGAGTCCCAGGTAGAAAGAGTATTTTCTTGTGCACAGGTACTGTAGGACTGTGTGGGTACCTGAGTTTTTCATCGAGGTAGAGGGGGTGGTCCATGCTGAACTGTGGCAGCGGCCAGCAGAGATCTGTCTGATGTTTTTACCCTGGAGGGCTGTTATGAGTGTGGGTTCCTTTACTGGGTTGGAGTGTCCAAGGCCAAGCTAAAACAGCACAGAAAATAAAACACGGCTTTTAGACTCCTTCTGACATACAATGAAAGCAAGCATCAGTTTGTCAAAGTGTACAGTTTTACAACAGTGCATGTTGGTTACCTGTCCCTCACTGTTGCAGCCCCAGGCGTAGACATCCCCAGTGGAGGACAAGGTGAGCACATGTTCACAGCCCACAGCAATGTCCTCTATGAACAGCCCCTCCAGGGTTGGCACCACTTGGGGGTAGGATTTATTCTTCAGCATGGAGTCCGGGAGGCCGATGAGACGCTCTGAAGGATGAACAGAAGGAAGCCAAACAACACAGTGGCATATGTTAAGTGTGTTCAGAATTAAAACTGACTGGTTTGTGCAAAGTATGCTGGTTAATTTCATTTAGAAAACATTTGGATATTTTTGTTAGGAAGAATACACCAGCTAATAGGGGTGTAATGGTACATGTATTTGTACCAAACTGTTCTGGTGCAGGGCTTTTGGTACGGTGCAGACATGTACCAAATTCAATCTTTAATAGTGGTTAACAGTGAGTTGTTTTTTTTTGTTTTCTCAATTCTGAGTTTCACCGAAAATAAGTTGTGGACCAGAGAGCAATAAACACACAGCACGCTTAGCTTAGCCAAGCTTCTGGCTAAGAACGCCACGGCCAACGAGAAACTAGAGCTAGAAGATCCCCCACTTCAGCTTCCTGATGAAATACAACAACGAACTAAGACAAGTGGATAAGATGTCTTATTTGTTTATTGCGCTCCAGTCTGCCACTTAATATGTTCATGGTATGTTTTTGGCAAAATGTCAAACTTGCCAACTCATCTGAAATGGCAACACGTGAACATGAATATCACTGCTGCAAAGAAAAAACAAGATTAGTACAAAAACTTGTTCTTTCATCATTTAAGCAGCATTTCCCTGCTTAATGGAGCACGTACTGTATTATAGTACTCTGCAGGATTATTTTTTTTAATTCTAATTGTATATATTTTGCTTAACTTAAAATCTAACTAAAAAAGAAACTGTTCATGTTTACACAACGTCATAATAGACAAGCAATTTTATGACTTTTCCCTTACGGTACCAAACCATGACTTCAAAACTGATGTATATACCAGACCCTGAGTTTTGTGGACAGTTCCAGTTTGCATTTCATGATGCATAATAGTCAGGGTTCTAAAGAACCAGGAAACAAATTAGTTTTTAACAGTTTACCATAAAACTATTTGCACTTTTTGCCTTACAGTCGTGCTAATTATGTAACACTTTTGGTGTTTAAAAAGATAAATGGACACACAGAATAGAGTACTACAACAAACAATGCATACATTTCAAAAATGGAAACTTACCTTGTCCAAATGTGTAAACATGTCCATCACAGGCCAGTGCCACAGAGAACTGAGTTCCACAACTGACCTTCTTGATCCCCTTGTTGCACAGCTGCTCCACTTTCTGAAAACAGGAACAATAGTAACAATTGTACTACTGTACACCACAGCTGCAGTTTTAAATACAGAACAGGAAATCACCCAATTAAAACAAAGGCTTGTAAATAATCACTACTGTAATGATAAACATGTCTATGTTTCTCCAGAGAAGCAGCTGGGTACAGAGTAACAAAAACAACCTTGGTCTTGTCTTATGAGGATTCCAAAATTTGAATTGCCATTAGCCTACCTGAGGGTAGTATTTTGCTGTAGAGGAACCTGTTCCTAATTTGCCATAATCCCCATCTCCAAATGCCCACACAAACATGCCATCAAGGGATAACACCAAAGTGTGGTTGAGACCACATGACACCTGAGAAACAACATGTTTGCTTGGATTAGTTAGATTTCATTATTTTTTCACTGTAGAGTCTACGTCTATATAGTAAATGCATCTATTTCTTACCTGTCCCACATGATATCCCTCTAGTGCAGCCACTCTTTCAGGCAGCATCTTGTTGGATGTTGACCTTTGACCCAGACGGCCAGATTCACCACTGCCGAATGTTAAGAGTTTCCCATCTGCTGTTACCACAGCGGAGTGCCGGAAGCCACAAGCAAGCTGAAGTAAGAAAAAAAAAATTACTGAGGCCTGAGAAAACATGGTTTTAAACTGGCTTGTCTACACATCAAGTACTTTTGACATGGTGGATGCAATACCAGTTCACTGTTTAAAATAATCTTCTTAAGGCTGCAAATAATGCAGTATAAATACCTGAATGACCTCTTCTCCTTGTAAGGCCTCTATCTGTCTAGGTCTCCTCTGCCTTTCACTATTGCCGTGACCCAGTTTTCCAAAATCTCCATCTCCCCAACTGAACACCTCCCCAGTCTCAGTCAGGGCCATAGAGTGTCCATCTGATCCACAAGATGTCACCAGCTGAGTCACCACATAGCCTGCTCACAGATCAAACGGTCAGTAAAGCTAGATTTATGATATAAATTGAGAAAATTAACAGTTAGGCCTGAATAAAAGCTACCAATTCAAACTGTAATACTACAATCTGAGTATTTTTTGTTCTTTTTTAGAAGCAGACCAGCTCGGATGTGGGTTCTTAGGCCCTGGATGAATACTGCACCTTGGAAAGCAGAGATAATAGTGGGAACATAGAGATCATCAGAATTCCCCTGCCCCAGTCTGCCATATTGTCCTTCTCCTACAGCCAGTACAGTCCCATTGGACTGGACCAGGAAAGTACAGTTCTGTCCACACACAACCTGGATGACAATGTAAACACCCACAAAGAGAAAGAAACTTTGAACACAGCAGAAATCAAGGGCAAAGTCAGTGTCCTGAGTGAAAAAGCTGCTACCTGTTGTGTCTGTAAGAGAGACGGCACTAGAGTAGGCATCATGAGTTTGGTTCCCCTTCCTGCCAGCTGTCCAT